GGAGAACGAGGAGCTGCGTGCTGAGCACGAAGATAAGACCCGTGGACTGCAGGAGGTGAGCGAGCAGGCGGAGGATCTGCAGCGGCAGCTGGAGGAGCTTCGTGCGGAGAACGAGGAGCTGCGCGTTGAGCACGAGGATAAGACCCGTGGACTGCAGGAGGTGAGCGAGCAGGCGGAGGATCTGCAGCGGCAGCTGGAGGAGCTTCGTGCGGAGAACGAGGAGCTGCGTGCTGAGCACGAGGATAAGACCCGTGGACTGCAGGAGGTGAGCGAGCAGGCGGAGGATCTGCAGCGGCAGCTGGAGGAGCTTCGTGCGGAGAACGAGGAGCTGCGTGCCGAGGACGAACATAAGACCCGTGGACTGCAGGAGGTGAGCGAGCAGGCGGAGGATCTGCAGCGGCAGCTGGAGGAGCTTCGTGCGGAGAACGAGGAGCTGCGCGGTGAGTACGAGGATAAGACCCGTGGACTGCAGGAGGTGAGCGAGCAGGCGGAGGATCTGCAGCGGCAGCTGGAGGAGCTTCGTGCGGAGAACGAGGAGCTGCGCGGTGAGCACGAGGATAAGACCCGCGGACTGCAGGAGGTGAGCGAGCAGGCGGAGGATCTGCAGCGGCAGCTGGAGGAGCTTCGTGCGGAGAACGAGGAGCTGCGTGCTGAGCACGAGGATAAGACCCGTGGACTGCAGGAGGTGAGCGAGCAGGCGGAGGATCTGCAGCGGCAGCTGGAGGAGCTTCGTGCGGAGAACGAGGAGCTGCGCGGTGAGGACGAAAATAAGACCCGTGGACTGCAGGAGGTGAGCGAGCAGGCGGAGGATCTGCAGCGGCAGCTGGAGGAGCTTCGTGTGGAGAACGAGGAGCTGCGTGCCGAGGACGAGGGGAAGGCATGTGGGCTACAGGAGCTGAGTGAGCAGGCGGAGGATCTGCAGCGGCAGCTGGAGGAGCTTCGTGCGGAGAACGAGGAGCTGCGCGGTGAGCACGAACATAAGACCCGCGGACTGCAGGAGGTGAGCGAGCAGGCGGAGGATCTGCAGCGGCAGCTGGAGGAGCTTCGTGTGGAGAACGAGGAGCTGCGTGCTGAGCACGAAAATAAGACCCGTGGACTGCAGGAGGTGAGCGAGCAGGCGGAGGATCTGCAGCGGCAGCTGGAGGAGCTTCGTGCGGAGAACGAGGAGCTGCGTGCCGAGGACGAACATAAGACCCGTGGACTGCAGGAGGTGAGCGAGCAGGCGGAGGATCTGCAGCGGCGGCTGGAGGAGCTGCGTGCGGAGAACGAGGAGCTGCGTGCCGAGGACGAACATAAGACCCGTGGACTGCAGGAGCTGAGCGAGCAGGCGGAGGATCTGCAGCGGCAGCTGGAGGAGCTTCGTGCGGAGAACGAGGAGCTGCGTGCCGAGGACGAAAATAAGACCCGTGGACTGCGGGAGGTGAGCGAGCAGGCGGAGGATCTGCAGCGGCAGCTGGAAGAGCTTCGTGCGGAGAACGAGGAGCTGCGTGCCGAGCACGAACATAAGACCCGTGGACTGCAGGAGGTGAGCGAGCAGGCGGAGGATCTGCAGCGGCAGCTGGAGGAGCTTCGTGCGGAGAACGAGGAGCTGCGCGGTGAGCACGAACATAAGACCCGTGGACTGCGGGAGGTGAGCGAGCAGGCGGAGGATCTGCAGCGGCGGCTGGAGGAGCTTCGTGCGGAGAACGAGGAGCTGCGTGCCGAGGACGAACATAAGACCCGTGGACTGCGGGAGGTGAGCGAGCAGGCGGAGGATCTGCAGCGGCAGCTGGAGGAGCTTCGTGCGGAGAACGAGGAGCTGCGCGGTGAGCACGAACATAAGACCCGTGGACTGCGGGAGGTGAGCGAGCAGGCGGAGGATCTGCAGCGGCAGCTGGAGGAGCTTCGTGCGGAGAACGAGGAGCTGCGTGCCGAGGACGAACATAAGACCCGTGGACTGCGGGAGGTGAGCGAGCAGGCGGAGGATCTGCAGCGGCAGCTGGAGGAGCTTCGTGCGGAGAACGAGGAGCTGCGTGCCGAGGACGAACATAAGACCCGTGGACTGCAGGAGGTGAGCGAGCAGGCGGAGGATCTGCAGCGGCGGCTGGAGGAGCTTCGTGCGGAGAACGAGGAGCTGCGTGCCGAGGACGAACATAAGACCCGTGGACTGCAGGAGGTGAGCGAGCAGGCGGAGGATCTGCAGCGGCAGCTGGAGGAGCTTCGTGTGGAGAACGAGGAGCCGCGTTCCGTTTGTTCTTTTGGTGATCGTGGACTTTCTTCTGTTGGGAAGGTGTTCTCTAGACATCGTTGTTTGTTGGGTGTTTTTGGTTTTGGTGAGGTTTTGCGTTCGAATGAGGAGGCGTTTCGTCGTGCTGTAAGTATTGATTTGGCGAGTGCAGTGGGTTTGCTCGTTTCGGATATTCATGGTGTGGATTTTGGTCCAGAGGCTAGTTATTGTGATGTGGGTGTGGATCATGATCCTCTTTTGTCTGAGGACGAGATTGACCGCCGCCTGAGACGGTGCCCGTTTCTTAACGCCAAAAGTCTTCTTGGTCCAGCAGCGAATTGCGTGGATGGTGCTGATGCCACGGCCGAGGTGTTGCGGCAGCTGGAGGACTCTGGTGCTGACCCGTTATTGGGCCTCATTGCGGAGGAGTTCATTTCTCGCTTGGTGTTTGAGCAGTCTGCGATCTCTTCGCTGCTGGAGGGTGCACTTGAGGGTTTTAGATGCTTGGATGCCCTCCATCAGCGGCGCGAGTCGGATTTACTGGATGAACTGGATGAGCGGGCGACGGAGTACACAGACATGCTGGAAAAGTCGGAGGAGATGGTGCAGCTGTTGGAGGAGGCACGACAAGCGGAATGCAACGCTCGGAGTGAACTTTTTAATCGTGAAGAGGCGTTACTGGAGTTGCAGCGACGTCGAGATGATGACTTGCGTGAGCTGGAAGCTGTAACGCACGCACACCGCAACTTGCTTCATGCGATCCGGCAGCCGCGGGAGGGGATGACGGAAGAAAACGCGGAGGAGTCGTTTAGCGAGGCGGAACGCGTGCAGGGCATTGAGCGGCACGCTGTGCAACTTGAGAGTGAGAACATTGCGCTGCGAGAGGAGATGGCGCAACGTGCGGTGGCGCACCGGGAGGCGATGGAGGGTCTGAACAACAAGATTTCCAAACTCATGGAGGAGCTCGAGGCGAAGGGAATGGAGTACACCGAAACGCTTGGGAAGTTGGAGGAGTTTGTCGGGCTGCTGGAGGCGGCGCGTGCCGCCGAGAAGTCGGCGTTGATGGCATTAGAGAAGCGGGAGCAAGAGTTGTTTGAGCTGCAGGCCGCACATGACGAGGAGATGCGGGAGCTTGAGAGTGCCATGAAAGGGTTGGATGGAGGCGTCCTGCCGCCGCAGGGGGGCGCTGCGGATTTTCCCGCGGCGGAGATGCAAGCAAACACCGCCGTAGCAGACGTCGATAAAAATGCCGTTCGGACGATGCGGCAGCAGTTGGAGCGACTGAAGCGGGAGAAGGAGGCTCTTGTGATGGAGCTGGAAGTGAAGGGACGGCAGCATGAAGACGCGCTGAATGTGCTTAACCGAAACATTGGCGAACTCATGGGTGAACTTGACTCCCGCATACGTGGATGTCAGGTGTCGGCGACAAGCGCGAAGGAGTTACTACACGAGATTGCCCTGCTGCGCTCCGCCGAGGAGGAAAATGAGGAGGAGTACAACGAGGGCGATTAAGACGGTGCCGCAATGAGCTTCTTGCGGGTGCACCTTAGCACCGCTGCAATAGGAGTGGTGAAAAAAGAAGACAATATACATGCATGTAAAGGTAAAATTGCCCTTCCCCACCAATGAATATCATCATCCGTAAGAAACAACAAATACGAAAGAGATGTAAAGAAGCGGGGAAGAGAAACAAAGAAACAAACAAACAAACAACAACAACAATAAGGGAAGGGCACTCTTGAAGGAGTGCTGGAAGAAAATTATCATCTGAGAGAAATGAGGGTTGAGAGTATGAGATAAAAAGGAAGAAGCGGAGGGAACAATTGAGGCAATTTGACACGCTATGGATGGTATTTCTCTCTCTCTCTCTGTGTGTGTGTGTGTGTGTACGTGTCTATGGACGCCCGTTCAATGTATATGCGTGTTGTCACGTAAATGCATGACTGGATATATGCTTTTCTTTGTATGCATCCATCGTCGCGTGTTATGCTCATACAAATTTCTCTGCGGGACGTTACTCTTTCCTTTTCGCCTTCTCTTCTTATACATATCTATATATATATATATCTGCAGCGTTTTACTGTTTTTCTTTTCTACAATTTTACTTTTTTTTTTTTTTTTTTCTTTTTGTGTGTGTTTTATTTATTTATTATTTCCTTTTTTTTCCCTTTCTTTTTTTTTGGTTTGCCTTTGAGCCCTACGATTTGTGTTTGTTTGTGTGGAGTCCATTGTCTTTGCGGCCGGTCGTCGCCTCAACGCATCGTTAACATCTTCCACTGGGATTCTGCCACCTTCCCTTCCCTTTTTTCTTTTTTTTTATGCCGCTGCGCACATGTGTGTGTGTGTGTGTGTTTCTGCTCAAATGTCTTGTTTTGGATTGGCAGCCTTTTTTTGTGTTCTGCCTTTATTTATTTTCTTCTGCCACGTCATATTGTTGCGTGTGATCGTCCGGTGGCACTTTTTTGTTGCTGGGGAGTAGTAGCCTCAGTGTCCCTTTTTTTTTTTTTTGGTGCCTTCCACCCCACAGCCCCTCGGCTGCTTTCTTTTTTCTTTCTTTCTCTATCTCTCTGTGTGTTTGCCGCGGGGGTGCGGTTGCGATGGGTTGGAACGACGATCGACACGATTATTTATGACGGCAGTTCGAAGGCAAAAAAAAAAAAAGAAAAAGGAAAAGAATTTATGTGCGTTATTTTTCACAACGCGAAACTAGAGAGCGGAGGATGAAGGCAGAGTGAGAGAGAGGAAGGGATTTGTATACTCGGCGGAAGTTTTTTGCGTCTTTTTTTTCTTTGTTGTTGTTTTCAAAGTGACTTTTTCATGCCTATATGCATGCATGATGAGTATTGTGTACATTGTTTTCATTTGGACCCCTTGTTTTTTTAAATCACTCAGGCTCCTTTCCCACCCCCCCTACTGGTTGCTGTTTTTCTCCCCTCATGGCTGCAGTGGCCTGCTGTGCCCTACGCACTGCCTTTTCTCATCATTACACCGAGGCACGCAGCCAATGGCACGGAGAATAAACGAAAAGAAGTATGCGACTCTTTGTGAAAAGGGGTTAGGGGGAAGAAAAAGGTGGAGGCCGTCGAGTTTATGAATCCGAGAGTAGGCGTATACGTATATGTTTTTTTCTGCGTGTTTCCGTACTTATATGCCCTTGCTTATCTCTCTCTTTCTGTGTTTGTGTTTGGTGCGCGTATATTAACTTTGTTTGGGAGTAGACGAGGGCACATCTGCGGTCAACATCTCTCTCACTTTCTCTTTCCTCTTCTTTGGCCGTTTCGTCCCTGTATTCGCAGTGCAAGGATAACTATAGTAGGTGTGTTAGGACGTATACATGGAGAGGCTTTTGAAGCGTGTGGGGTTGCTGGGGGAGCAGGGGCCCAATACCCACGACAAGAGCGAAATATGCAGTGTGGGGGAGTGTGGCAGTGGGGATAGCTCATGTTCGACGAACGCTGATTTGGAATTCGCCTCGGCAGTGACGCCGAAGACGGTGACTGTGACGTCTGCGGATGGGGATTTTGGTGCGGCTGGTGGGAGCGACACGGTGGCGGTGGGATCATCATTTAGTAGTGGGATGGACAAGCACCTCCTGGCGGTGGCTCGGGCCTCCGAATTTTCTGCGTTAAAAAGATTGGAGCTCTGCCAGCAGGAACTCCTGCAGCTGCAGAGGATGTGGGATTTGGACCGCGAAACGCAGCGTTGGACCGTCGCCTCGCTGCGGGAAGAAGTGCGGCATCTCCAAAAGCAGTTGGAGCAACAGCGCCTCTGCGGGTGGTTGCAACGTACACGCGAGAAGGCCATCGTGACGAGGAATTTGTCAACGTCCCCTGAAAGTGGGGTCGGTGCATCTTTTCGGCATGCGGCCGATAGGGAGGCGGGGCGGGCGAATGGCGTTTTTGAGGCCTCCGCAACGAGTGGCACGGGGGATGTTTCCGCTCGTGCAGAGGAGACATGCCTGGGCCGTTCCTCTGACGGTCAACGCACACACGGCGTGTGTGCGTCGAGTGGCGCAGAGGAAGTAGAGGATAGTTTGGAGTTTTACGGACGTCTTCTGCACGATGCGAACGGGGAATGTGGCGAGTTGCAGGCTGAATTATCTCGTGTAGTGCGACGGCTGCATGATGAACGTCGCTTTTTTGCTCAACGGATCTCGTCTTTGTTGCGTGAGAAGGAGGAGATGGTCCGCGAACACGCCACGACGCTGGCACACCTGGATGAAACCAAGGACCTTTTAATGGCTGCACGTGCAGCGGAGCGGGCGGCGCTGCGACGTCTTACGGAGAGGTGCCCGGGCGAATCTGCCCGAGTGTACGGTGGGCGGACAGCAGACGGAGGGGAGATGGGGACGGTCTACTGCTCGCGCTGTGGCTGCTCTTCCACCGCTTGCAGTGAATTGTTGCGCAGCTCAGTGGATTTTTCAGTGGAGCGACACCACTGCAACTCTCTTGCCGTGCGCCAGAGCGCACTGGAGGAGGAGGTGTGTATTCTAGAGTGTGAGGTGGAGCGCGACACCCGGAACGCGGAGGGGCTGCGCCGCGTTCTTGAACGCCTTATTGACGAGGTGGACGTCCACGCTCGTGGCTGCCGCGCTGCCAACAAAGACATTGTTGGTTGTCTGCGCGAGATTTCGCTGCTGTGGCTCGCAGAGGGGGACGAGAAGGACGATGAGGACGATGAGCACAAGAGTGATGACGGTATGCCGCCGTCACTGCTGCTGCTAGGTGGCGATGGGCCGGATGGCGACAGCAGCTCGGAGTGCGCACCATCATCGGCAGTCCGCTCACATCTTCTGTCGGCATCATGACGCACAATTGACAGGTTGGGGGGGGGGGGGGGGAGGACAACGACGGCATTGACGCGCAGCGACCAGCGAGGACGACGTCACCATCATCATGTGTGTGTGTGCGGCCTGCATTTTTCTCACCGCTGCGTCCCAATCCACCGCGACTCACCGCATGAACACCCCAGTGGAGAGGCCCAACGAAAATGGAAAAAAAAAAAAGAGCGAAATATCCGACGAAACGGAAGTCCGACAAGCCCAAAGACGAGTAATCAACCAAAAAAAAAAAAAAAAAAAGAGAGAGAGAGAGAGAGAGAAGGGGGTACCAACAGAGGGGAGAAGGGAGATGGAATGCTGCACCCAACGTGAGGCATGTATAATGCCGTGGAGATCAGGGGTAGTTGGTGACTTAATCAAGTACACATGCAACTTGATACAGTTTGTGGTGAATAATGCGGTTGATGATTATGATGTGGCTTGCGGGACGTCTTTTTCTTTCCCCTTTTTCTGTTTTTTTTTTTTTTTCTCCTCCCACATTCCCTGCACAATGTACATAATTATATATATATATATATGTGTGCGCTAATGTTTTTTTTTTTTTGTACCATCAACGTGTAATTTGCATGTGTGCATTTACTTCTTTTTTTTTTTTTTTTTGTGTGTGCGTGTTTGTGTGTTTGCTTTAACACTCGTCAGTGATTTATGCTTGCTGCTGAATGGCAACGATATGTTTTTTTTTTGTTCTTTTCTTTTGCTGTACATGTAAAAGTTTTCTTTTTTTATTATTTTGTCTTCCCCCTTCCCCCTTCCCATTACTTTCATGTTTTTCATATAAATGTGTTTGTGTGTGTTTGCGCTTTGTTTTCTTTTCTCTCCAGCCACGAGAGTATTGGCATGTGGGGGAGGGAGGAAAGAGCGAGTCTCTCCCCTTTTCTTCTGTTTTTCTCTCATATATGCACACACACACACACGGAGATGTTTCTTCATCGTCGGTCCCTGCTTGTTTTCTTATTATTATTTTTCCTTTTTTTTTTTTTTTTTCTCTCTTTCTCTCTCCCTGCGCTGGTAGTTAGTAGCCGTTGTGGAAGACGAGAACTTTTATTATTAGCGGCATACGCTACGATTGATCTTTCTTTTCACTTCTGTACAGGCAAATATATAACTGCACACTTATATTATTATACAGCCTTTTTACCGGTAGTGTCCATTTATATTTGTTTGGTCCGTTGCACACCCTGCAGTTTACGTATATATATATCTATATATATGCCACGCAAATATCGCTACCAGCGCACACATACTTTTGCTGAGCGCCAGAAGGAAGTGGCGACCATTCGCGGGCGCTTCCCGCAGCATGTCCCTGTTGTATGCGAGCCCGCATCAATTGACACGGTGCTGAGTGCAGGCCCAATTTCGGACCGCTGTCGGCTGCTGCGGGACTTGGACTGTAGCAAGTTTCTCGTGCCGGGTGACGCATCCATGCAGCAACTTATGGTTCTTCTGCGTAGTCGGCTGGTGCTTGACGCGGAGCAGGCGATCTTTCTGTTTATAGACGATGCGGTTCTACCAAATAGCGCCTGCGTGGGCGACCTCTACGCTCAGAGGAAGGACGCCGATGGATTTCTTTACATGACATACAGCATTGAGAGCGCCTTTGGCGGTGCGGCTGTGCGGCGGAATTAGGAGCGGCGGCAGTGCGGGAGGGGGAGATGCACACAGACGATGGCAGTTGTAGAAGTGAGCTGGCTGGTTTTTCTCTTCTTTTCTTGTTTTTTCCTTTTTCCGTTTTTTGCCACCAAATGTGTATTGCTCCCCCCCTTTTTTTTTTATTTATTCGTCCTAATATATTTTTCCTTTGTATTTTTCCGCCAGTTCACTCATTTGTTTATCTGCTCAATCTGTCGTTGTATTGACTGTCTTCTTTTTTTTTTTTTTTTTTTGATGCTTGGTTGGTTGGTTGGCGCTGCTTAGGATTGGCTTGGCGTGTGAAGTGCATATGTAAAAGAATACAATTTACATACAATGCATGAATATGTTTGCGTGTACGTATCCATGTGTGCCTGTCTGCCTTTGCGCATTGTTATTAACTTTTAGTGCTGGATATTTCTGCTGCTTGTGTGCGTCTGTGAGAGTGAGTGAGTGTTTGTTTTTTTCTTTGCTTTTTTTTTTTGTTTGCTTTTTTTTCTTTTTTTTTTATTTTTGTGTGTTTTTTTTTTTTGGGTGACAATTTTAATATACACACGGAAATCTGTCTGTATGCGTCTATACAGAACGGCTGCGTATTGGGTATGCATATCCCCCACACACACACAGACAGACAGACAGACAGACAGACAGCCTCATAAGTACATACGTGTGTACCCACGCATTGTGTGAATATCTTTATTGGCCTATTGGCGATGAGACATGTATGCCTTCTTGTCTTTGTGTGTCTGTGCCTCTCTCTCTCTCTCTCTCTCTCTGTGTGTGTGTCTGTGTGTGGGTAACGATGGGTTTATTATAATACGTCTTTTTTGTTTTCTTTTTAAAGCCCTGGACATTTTTTTTATTGGTTAGCCGTATTTGTGCCTAGCGGCCCAAATAAGAAGGAGCCAATAGAAAAAAAAAAAAAAAAAAAAGAGGGTGGCAAATACCCAGAAGCGGGGTCAAATAAATAGGCTTTGGAAATAAGGAAAAACACACAAGAGGGAAGAAAGATATTGTCTTGCTGCGGTGGTCACGTGGTGGTTAGCAGAATTCTATGTTCTATACGAGCTGCAGCTATCAAGGGGAGAGGACCCCTGACGGGAAGCGTTTTCACGAACAAGGGATATACACCTTTGCTAATGGCGATACTTATGTCGGTGCATTCAATGATGGCCGCATGCATGGCCACGGGACATTATTTTTTACCGCAGAGAGAGGCGGGGGACAATACCGTGGCGTGTGGGAGAATGGACGCAATGTGTCAGGTGCATTTGTCTTTGCGGACGGGCTGGTTTATGGCAGCGGGGAGGATACCACCACCACCGACAATAATACTGCAGCAGCAGCAGAAGCAGAGAATACTGCTACAGTAACTCGTTTAGCGGATACGACCAGTATCTTGAATTCTGGAGTGAAGGGCGGTATGGATGGACACCCCATTTCTTCCAACAGCAAACGCGGAAAAGGCAATGTGAGGGAAAGTCTCGCGGAGGAGTGGCTGTACTGCCGCGAGGGGGACCGGCGGCTGTGGGCTGAACACCTGCGCGAGGTGATGCCTGTGTTGCCAATGCAGGCCGTTCTGGGTGGTGTGCGTGTGCCGCAGTCGTCGCTCTGGGCGGTGGAGCCGGTGGTCGCACCGAGCGTGGCCGCGGAGGCGAAAATACCCGCAACATTTGTGCAGGGCCAACCCCGTTCCCTGGCCGACGTGCCGGCACACTTCTGGAAGGATCCACAGCAGCGGGAGAACGTCATGTCGTCGATGCGGCTTCCGACGCCTCCCTTCAAGGGAGCCCAGGGCGGCGCCGGTCGTGAGGAGACAATGGTGGACAATGGCGACAGACCCGCAATAAATCTTTCACTTCGCATCATCGCTCCGTTGGAGTCTGAGGCCATGCGACGTGCCATCGCGGCCGCTGTTGCGGCTTCCGCCCGTGCGGCCACATCCTTGGAGGCTAGAAAGTCGCCGCAACCAGAGTCCACCCTATCCCCGGACAGTGCTGGATGCCTCGTGACGCCTGGAGACACCGATGTATTCGATAAAAAAGGTGCGAACCCCGAATTGGCGTTGCAGGGCACACCCGTGCATTTGCCTGGCGAGTTGGAGGGCGGCTCTGCGCTCAGGGACGATGAGTGCTCAACGGTGGAGCGTCACGCATCGCAAAACACACCCTTGCAAGACCCAAAATTAGCGCCTTGTCAAACCAACGAGCCTTCCCTTGCGCCGCACCCTTTGCAGGGGCTCTCAGTCCCTGAGACACCGCGTTCCCTGACGGAATTCCCTGAAGAAGTGACCTGCAGAGGGGCTTCCGAGGCGCGGGTGGACGAAAGTGCCCCGTCACCAGTCCTACAGACCGTCATGTATGCATACTTGAGCCAAGAGCAACCTGAACCAGATGCCAAACAGCATGATGAATTCCGACAGGAAGAAGAAGAGCAGGACACTCAGGAGCAAGAGCATTATAAGCAGGATGCTGCCCAAGAGCATGAGGGTGAGCAGCAGGAGGATCTGAAGAATGAAATCGGGTCCACGGAAGAAGATAAAATGTATCTGAGTGATGGGAATGCTTGATAACTGTCATGCGAAAAGGGAAGAGAATGAGTGAATGGGACTTATATAGTGAATGAAATGTGTGTGATACACGATTCATATGTAAATGGAATTCTTTTTGTCACCTCTCTTTCTCTTTTTCTCCCACACGATATACCTTTGAGAGGAGGCATGTTTGTTGTGTACGTGTGTGTGTTTGTGTGGGGCACAAATACAAACAACATTGGAGAGGACTTTTATTCTGTTTTTTTTTTTCTTTTTTAAAAATAATTTTTTTATATGCTGTTTCATCATGTTGTTTAAATGTTGCCTTGACGTTTCTTGATATTCTTCTGCTTTGACTCAAACTTCTTCCTTGGGGGGAGGGGGGCAGGCTGCTTGTTGTTTATTTATTTACCTTTTGCCTTCTGTTTTAATTGTCTCTTCTGTGGTGCATGGCTTCAGCTAGGATGACGCGCACTCCCAAAGGGAGCACGAGGGGCTCTTTTTTTGTCGTATATGTTTTCTGATGTGTCAGCAGGCAGTTGCGGATACACACCGCTGATTTGCGATTTTTTACATTGCCGGAAGTGATGGGAGCCGCTCAAACCCTTTTCTGTCGCGTTGGAAGTTACGGGTGCACGCCGTAGCACCACGAGCCTGCTGCGGGTGCTGGATTCGCTGTGTTTACGGTGTAGCAAAAGAAAAAAGGAAAAACACAGGGCCCAACTCCACGGTAGTAAAGGAATTGACTATTGCCTGCCCCTGGACGGATCTGTCGTTGGGGTGATGAATAGAGCCCTGTGGCTACGGCCTCCCCTGCGCTGAGGACGCCGTGTGGAGTGATGTCGGGAACAACACTTGACAGCAAGAAGCTGCTGCGATGCTTCGATCAGATGCCAATGTTTTTTTTTTCTTTCTTTTTTTTTTTCTTTTTGTGTCTGTGTCTTTGCCTGCAACACGGAGACGTGGAGCAAGCATTGACAGCATCCAGAAAAGGACACAGAACTGAGAAGGAGCGGTGAGTTTACATAACGAGACATGACGTGTGTCTCGCAGTCTATTGCCCGCTACAGTTTGCTCCGCTGCATCGTCTCCGCTGCACAGTTTGCTGGCGGTGATTTGTGCTTTTACGAAAACTACGCTGAGCTTGTGGCACAAGATGCCGTGGGAGAAACGACAACTCCACTTCGGATTGACTATGATGTTCTCCTCCACTTTCGTGTGGTGCGGCAGCAGCAGCTGATGCGAATTGAGCTCCCACGCTTGATTGTGTGGCGCTGGGCCGAGGCCAACCGATTCGCCTCCGAGCTGGATGGCGGGGAGATCCTCACCCGGGAGGACATGAACAGACCGTGCACGCTCATAGAGCAGCTGCACGAGGACGACATGGCGCATTTCTTGCAGTCCGTCGCGCCGATGGTGGCGGCAAGCCGACGGGCGCGTTCTGCGTCGCGTGTCAGTACAACCGAGCCGCTGCCGTTGAGTTATTTTCCACCCAACCCTGAGGCAGACTCGGTGGCGTCAACAGAAACACCGTCTGATGTTGATGGTGATAACGCCAACCTCAGCGGGGGCAGCCAAGAGGATAACGACAGGGAAGGTGGGATGGATGACTCCAGCGAGAACGTCTCCGCGGTGTGGCGGTCCCAATCGACCGTTCCAACGACGCAGCGCAACCCCTTGCTAGGCGTGGGTGCGGACTCCGTGGAATCAGCAGGGGATAAAAGCAACGCGAGCAGGAAGAAGAAGCATGTGGACGTTGCTCCTGTCACTGAAACGGCTGCGTCTGTGGTTTCTGCTGCCGTCGTCAGTGAGGAGCGGGAGGAGAAAGGGGAGGAGGACCGTCTTTCGCAGTGTTTGGAGGCTCTTGGCGCGGCGGCGGACACTTCCGCGGTGCAATTGACGCGTGGCATTTCCTCCCAAAGCAGCCCTCTCTTGGCAAATTTCACGGCACGGAGGAGAGACCGTGAAGCCCCGGCTCGCGGCGGCAGCAATGAGGCGGTGATGCCAAATACACCGCCGCCACCATCGTTGTCATCGACCAACCTGCGCATGCCTCGGCAGCTGCGAGGGAAAGGAAATACACAACGAAGTGCCGCGACTCGTCGACGACCGCCCCATGTAGGGATTGATGGGGAGGAAGAGGCGGGAACGATGCCAAAGCGAGCCAGGAAAGAGAAATCCCCGACGTTGTTCTCACTGCCTGCGGGTGCCACAGTGGGTGACGCAGACGCAGCAACGCGAACAACGACACGAGTGCCACTAGTGGAACCGCCAGATTCTGGCGCTTCGCCCGATCAGCCGATAGAAACACCCAATGCTGTCGCTCCATCACGTGCAGGGGGATTGCCACACTCTACGCGTTCGGACGTGGTCTCCGTGCATCGCGGCGCCGCCACTGCAGTGAAGCGCGACGCAACAGATCCCAACGTGACTGCGGAGGCAGCGTACAATTTTGCCGATCTCATGACTGCACCAGAGAATGCAGCCCACCTACCTCTTTTTCCAGAGGTAAAAAAGATTCTGGGGGAGCTGGAAGAGCTGATTCCGCCTAAGAGAAGAGGCCGTGGTGCTGGAAAGACGAAAACGCCACGTCCGCCACCGAAGAAGGGAACAGCGGGGAAGCAGCAGCGCAAAGTCACGGCAAAAAGGCGTGGTGGGGGAATTGAAGTGATCTCAAAAGAGCAAACTAAGGCAGCCAAGGCGGAGTCCACAACGGCCCCACAGAAATTGCATCCAGTGGTTGGTGAAGACGACGGGGCATCGACACCGCTTCCTGATGCCGCTGCCGCTGCTCTTGCTGTTGCTGCTGCTGCTAATGTTGTCGTTTCCCCACCTGCAAATGTTCCACCGAACGTGAAACCCTCTTACCCATCGCAGCACGAGTCATTCATCCAGGCTCCTGCTTTGCCATCAACTCAGAAGTCTCAGCAAAAATCCGCACATGATTCTCCCGAAGTGGGCCACACATCCGATGGAGCAGCAGCAGAGGCAGCGACTTGTTGCTTCCCGTCCGCGTGTGTCACTCCCATGAGTGATTACCACTTGGCCGAGACTGCCTCCAATCAACATCGGGAAGAACATGAGGAAATAAATATGGACACAGGGTCTGGACCTGATTCCTCCGCGTATGCCGCACCGGCGGCAACGGCAGCATCCACACCGCCGAATCGGAAGGCCATCTCCTTGGAACAAAAGATGGATAGGCAGTTGACATCCACCCCGTTGGGGTTCCACAAGCCTCTTCCATTCGCACATGACTCTCCCCCACTTTGCCACTGTCAGCAGCGATGCATGAGGCATTATGGCACGCTCTCCGCCGTGGTAGAGGGCGACTCTCGCAAGAGTCGCTGGCGGCGTGTGGTGCGTCAATTAAACAGCCTTTCATTGCACCTCACAAAAGCACGAGCTTGTGGAGAGGAGCTGCGGGGGCTTTTCCTGTTGTTGCTGGAGGATGCAGAGATTTGAAAGGACCTCAATGCCTCTCAAAACAACAAAAACAACAACAATCAAAACAAAAACACAAAACAGGAGGATGTGGGGGCTCCCCACTGATGTTAACAGATTTTTTAAATTACTTTTGTTGTTATTATTTATTTATTTGTTATTATTTTTTTTTGCGGTTTGTACTTCAATGACTTCTGCGTCCGTGCAAAAACACGAGGGAAAAGGAAAGAAAGAAAAGCTGCCACCACCCAACAAACCTTCCCACACAGACAAACACACACACACACAGAGAGAGAGAGAGAGGGAATGAAAGAAAAGGGAAAAAAGAAAAAAGAAAGGAGAAATAAATTGAATTGGCATGCAATTGTTTTATGCATGAAGAGGCCGTGAAGATTTGTTTTGGCCATTTTCATTTTTCTTATATATTTTTTCTTTTATTCTTTTATTCTCTTTGCGCATTCAGTTTTTGCTAGAGTTTTTGATAGCCCGCTCACGCTTTGTAAGGAGATTTGGTGATGGCAATACCGAACCCCCGTCGCTGGAGGCGGGAGTTTGGCGGGACACGAAAGCGAAGAATACGAATAGTGCTTCGTTTTCTTTTCTTTTCATTGTGTCTCTTAGTTATCGGCGTGTTCCTCCTGTTGCTCCTCGCTGCGAACGAGAAGAGGACTTTTGAGAAGGAACTGACCGAGAGGGAGATCCCACACTATTCTACGAATGAATTTTTTACGCGTGTCAGCTTCGTCATGAGTAGCGCCATGGCCACGGCGTGGCGCACCTCCAGCGATCGGCTTGAATTCCCAGCGGAGATGTGGGTGGAGCGCGTGGCTGTTCGCCCTTCCGCTGCCACGACGGTGCCACTTCCTGCCGTGCTGCAGAAGGCAACGGTGTCGGCCACACTGTATGGGAAAAGCTCCCTGAAGCTCCAGCGCACCAAACGGCGATCGTTGTACATTCGCAGTGACTCACCCATTTTTTTTGTGACGCCTAACCCTGCATTGTCACCCAACCCATTCAAACGAAATACGACGGTGGCGTTGAAGGAATTTATATTGCTTTCCCTATGGGAGGACATCCACCGCATCGCCTACCGCACTTCCGTCGATCTGCTGCAACATTTAGATTTGATTTTTTCATATGCGCAACTGGTGGAACTACGCTGCTATCCGCCTTCGCAGAAGTCTCATTTGGATCACCCATGCGTACCGTCTGTTGCTGGTGTTTCTGTGCGCGATGGTGTGCATGTGGGGCGGACCCTTGGTGTTTATTTGGCCATTGAGCCGCCCGCCCCGGCGATATGGCGGCGAATGAAAGAGGCCTTTTCCGCCTTTGAGGAGTTGGCGAATGAGTCTCTGAGGGAAGTAATTGAATCCGTGAGTCATGGTTCCCCTGCCGCTCTGCAAAGACGTGAGTACGAGAGTGTAATGGAGCACACCGCACGCATCACGTATTGGCGGCAAATGTGGCGTGCCGCGAAGAAGTCCTCCCCGGGGAAATTGGAGCATGCTGTTGAAATAGGGTCCCGCAACTTTTTGAGTTTTAGTGAGCCACGACATGATATGTCACATGTGCCGAGTTTTTTGAAAAACAGTTCCTTGTTGCCCAGTTATCGGCTTCTGGAAAAGGATCCCTGGCACTACGGCCTGCACAGTGAGACGGCCATGGGCAAAACGGTTAATCCTAAAAAGCAATTTCTTGATTTACCACAATACATGGCATGGATTGCCATCAACACGATACTTCAGAATGGTGATTACGATGATGAGGTGTTTTTTTACGGAGTGCTAAAGCCAATTCAATATGGAAATCCGAAGTTCCAGTTACCGATTTATCTGGGTGTGATGGGCTGGGACTATGACACCGTCTTTTCCCCATGCCATCGCAAGGTGTGGTTTAAGGCATCCGTCATGTATTGTGCTGAAACGACCCTTGATAAAAGCATTTATGACTCGGAAGCTTTTATTTATCGATACACAGATATACTATGGGATATGACGCAGCACATTGACAGGGAGCGATTCAGTCGATCTGTTCAAGTGGCGGAGAACGAGCTGCAAACAATACTTTATGGCGCCCCAGGGACAACGATGGCAACATTTAATCAGGTAAAACGCGAAAATGACGCTGGCGTGCGGTGGATTATTGGGGCCTTTTTGGAACAACGACAAATATTGCTTCGGGCTTTGGCCTCTTATTTTCCTGTCAACGAGGTCTCGCATTGCGATCAAACAAGTGATAGAGATGCCAAGGCGCTGGAGATCCACAACAGGGAGGCACATCTCGAACTGATGAAACGTCTCTCAATTGTCGTCAAAGTCAAGGGATCGCGTGTCAGCACAAGATGGGGGTTTTTAGTTGGAGGGATACAGTCGGCGTTGGGTGTCGATCTTCCAGAAGATGAGGAGTATCAACTCCCTGATGCTGGTATTTACTGTGCACGCGTGTCTGCTGTGGCATCTTTCTTCACATCTGTCGGACTGTTGCCTCCTCCCAAAGGGCGTGGGAAATGGGAGGCGCCGGGTTTCTGGTTTGTTGACATGCCATTGGTGGAGCCAAGCACGTCGCGTGGCAGTGCAGAGTTTGGGCTGTGGTCCTTTGATAAGAAATTACCCATGCTGTACCCAATGACAACACCTGATGCAGGGGCCACGCTTAGCATCGTTATGCCACCTGTGTGGCCTCAAGACTCCAAGGAGAAGCGTGGTGTGTTTGTTTCTCGGGTACTTTTTCCAGAGCAGGGTTCAGAAAACTCCCTCTTTAGATGGTCGAGGAAAAACACGCTTATCTTCACCATTGATGCCCCAACGCAGAGGACGATGATTGTACGTGGCTTCAGTGCTGTACGTTTTTTTGTGCCAGAGAAATCTGAGGAAGATTCCTTTTCTGCCCAGCGTCATGAGGGGGAAAATACAGTTAGGGGCCCAGGGTTGTTTGCTTCTAACAGCTCCACCACGCGGCTGCGTATAGGTGATGTGGACATTGAACAGTCGGTACCTCTCGCGTCTGTTGCGGCTCCACCACAAGCGTTATATTTGGCCGACGGCCTCGTGGACGCGAAGGGCGTCAGGTTTGGCGGTTCGCTTGAGAAACAGACGGTGCTGCGTTGCATCCCTGAAAATGCGTCGGTGGCGGAATCGGTGGTGGGAGAGGGTTTGACGCTGCGCTCGGCAGAGTGCCCCATTTTTATTTCCGGCTCTTTTGAAATTTCTCGAGGAGCGACTCTCGATGTGGCGGCGGGTTGTGTCGTTGTGATGCGGCCTGCTGCGATGCTGCGCGTGACGGGGTTTCTGCGGTTCAACGGCACCGTCGCGTCGCCCATTGTGGTCACCAGCGAATCGGCGGAGAATGCGAGCAGTTGGCAAACCATCCACGTCGATGGCCCCACCGCCACGTTATACGCGAGTTTTACGTTTTTCACCGGCTCAGGCGTGAAGGGGATCCGGGTGGCAAACACTGGGAAACACCACTCCCATTCTGCCGCCATCTCAGCTACAAATAAGGCCTCCGTCTATCTCCGTCACAGTTTCTTGTTGGAGCTGCAGGGGGCAGGCATTGCGGCAGGCAATGAGGCCGAGGTGCAAGTGGAGGATTCATTGGTGCAGTGGGCTCAAATGGGGATCGAGTGTGTGCAGTGCACCTTCACTTCAAGGCGCTCTGTCTGGACGCACTTTCCCTCATGGGATGCAGCGTATGCCGATGACGACAATGACGCCATGTACCTTTCGGGTGGTAAACATCGCGTCATTGATAGTGTCATTGCCCACACGAAGGACGACGGGATTGACTCTGGTGCGATGGGTAACGGTGGCTCCCTGGTTGTGCACAACACAATTGTAGAGGGTTGCATGCATGAGGGGGTGGCTCTCTCCTCCGATCCCAACGGCCGTCGTGAGGTTGTCATTTCTCACACCATCGTGCAGTATTGTCAGCAGGGCATCGAGTCGGGTTATGCGTCGAAACAACACACAGCGTCCATTACGAGTTCTCTCATTCAGAAATGCTCCGTCGGTGTTCGTTATGGCGACAACTACCACTGGTCGCACTGCGACGGGAAACTGACACTGCAGAACACAACGCTTGCCCAGAACGAAGTGAATGTGATGAACTACGAGCGACGGTATCAAATACCGCAAGACCCCGAATACTTCCACTCCGAGGGAGTTTTGTCACAGCGTCACTGGAAACTTCTTCGGGACGCCGCACGTGATTCCGCTCTCCCGCTGGCGGTGGCGCCACCGGAGGCTGTTGTCATGCTACTGATGGATGTGCGACGAAGAGAGCTGCCGAAAACAGGATGGGAGGGCTGCAAGGACATGTTCTTGCTACCCGGCAACAGCACTCTTATCGTTGATGAAGTAGTTGATGCGGAGGCGTTTACAGAAGAGCTGAGAGTTACGGAAGATGTCACAGTCACCTTTTGAATTTGTGTCTGGGAGGGCTGTCACTTGTTCTTCTTCTTTTTCTTTTGGTCTCAGCGTATTTTTGTATGTACGTCGAATAAAAGAGTGAGGGAAATAGTATTTTCTAGAATTTCTATTTATATCTACATTTATATGTAAAAAAGCAAAATAAAAGCAAAAAAAAAAAACAACAACAAAAAAGCAGACAATTATTTCTCTGTTTTTTTTTTTCTTTTCTTTTTTTTTGCTACGGTTTGCTTCATCGGCACTGCAGAAATTAAATAATTTTGGTATTGGCGTGTTTGTGTGTGTGTGTTTTTTTTTTTTTTGCTGTTGCTTCAGGAGATGTGAGCGTGTGCAGTGAGTGCGTGAGCCTCCGTGCGTGTCATGTATACATAGATACACACAGACATACATGACGTGAAATGACAATGGCATGGCATGGCATGTATGTGTACGAAATGAGTTGGCATGGATGCATGCCATTATTGTCACTTATGGGCTGTTTTTTTTTCTTTTTTTTTCTTTTTTACTTCACTTTTTTTCCTTTTCTTCATTTCTTTTATTCTTTATGTGCATTATGGTTGCTGACGGAATGAGCGGACACGCAAATAAAGAGGGAAGTGGCGTGGAGAGAGTGTGGTGCGCGGCTGACGAGGGTGAAGGCGGAAAGAAACGTGTGTGTGTGTGTGTGTGTGGGTGGAGGGAGAGGGGAGCCTGCGAGACGACGACGGGGAAAGAAGAGAAGGTACGTGCGATCTGTTCATACGTACACTGAGCCCTTCGCACAACAAAATAATAAATAAATAAATAGGAGAAAACACGGAGAAGGATAAGGAGAGAGAAGGTGGCCATGACAACGATGCTTCTTTCGGTTCCCCAAGCACATAGTGAAGTTATTACGTCTCTGCAGTTTTCCCCTCATCACGTTTCTGTCTTCTGCTCCACATCGGGAGATGACACCGCGGCGTTGTGGGATTGGCGTCAGGCCACAGCTGGCCATGAAATCGCACGCCTCACACACCACCAGGGTCCTGTGAACCACGCCCTGTTTCTGCAGGAAGACGAAAGGATGTTACTGACGGCGTCCGATGACCGCACGATTGCTTACTGGGACGCACGTGAATTGAGCGCGCCGGTCGGGAATATGCGCGGTTTCGGGGACGGAATCAATAAAATGTTGAGAATCCCCGCGCCCGGTACAAACGGCGGTTGTAATTGGCTGCTGGCAAGCGCCTGCGATGACGGCATGGTGTACATTTACTCACTTGGGCCGGAGAATGTTCCGCAGCGGAACGACCAACAGGGAAGAGGGGCGAATGCTTCAAACACGGCTGCTATCGGAACGATGGTGGATCGTTTCTGGGCAGCGACGAGCACCGTAAACGATCTGGCGTTATCCCCGAACCCGGGCTTGCTGCTTACGGCATCGGAGGATTGTGCGGTGCGGCTGTGGAACATCGTTGCGGATATGCGGGTGACAACGGAGGATCGTCTTGTAGCCTCCTTTGAGGAATTTGATAATCCTGTTAACCACATTGCCGTGGTTCACAGCGAGGCACAGCCTGAGGGGCATCCGCGGCCGGAATCGGGCTTTTGGCTCTACGCCGCCTGCTCGGAGGTTGTGTTTGCCGTCGACATTGATCCTCTGACCGGGGCGTTTGGGGATGCCGCCCGCACCCTTATGGGCCACCAGGACTACGTGCGCGGTCTGGAGTTTGTCGGTCGCGATACGCTTTTGACGGTCTCTGACGACACCACCGCGATTGAGTGGTCCCTGACCACCGCGGAGCCAATTCGTCAGGTGAAACTGCATGAGGGACTCGTCATGGCATCCGCGACTTCCGCTGCGAAGGATGTGCTGCTGACGGGGACAGATGGCGGTGAGTTGCGGGCGTGGCAGCTGCCGTTCAACACGGAGAAGTGCAACGGGGATAAAACAAACGGCTATTAAAACAGTGTGTTGAAAAGCGTTTTTTATTTTATTTTTTATTTTATTATCCCTTCCCTTCTTCCTCATTTTTTTTTCTTCTTCGATTTCCTCATGCTTTTCATTCTCTACTTTTTTTACCCCTCTTTTTTATTTTTTTTATTTTTTATTTGCTTAAAGGGAAAGCAGAACAGGGTTGAGACAGAGTTGAGAGAGAGAGAGAGAGAGAGAGAGAGAGAAAAGGGGTAAATCCCTAATTGCTGTTTGTGTGTGTGTGTGCGTGATCACTTTTGCGCCGCATTTAGCGGGAGGACGAGGGCGGAAAGGGAAAAGAGATTTGCATCCGAATGTGGCGACTCAGCAGCGGCGTGAGGCAACTCGCCGTCTCGTGGATCGGTGCGTCATGTGGCTGCGGTGCTGCTTCCGCGATGGCCCAAACGACCGTGCGTCGATGGCAGTCGCAGAGTTCCCGTGGCCAGCCGGGGCTTCACTGGGATGAGGGCGTTGTGGACCCGCGGTACTCGTCCGAGGGCAACATGCGGAGGTTTAACCCCGACACGGTGGCGCACTACGTGAAGGCGACAATCCAAAACGATCGTCGGGAAATGGGCCTGGGGGAGGTGTACGACTGGCATGAGTTCGCGAAGGACGCCGTGTACATCCCGACGCGATCGGGGCCGTTGTGGGTTGGCAGCGACGACCCCCGCTGCGCCAAATTTATGCGAAGACGCGAAAAGATGAAGAAGTCACCGCAGCAAAAGGCACGTCCAAAGCCCGGGCCAGACCCCGCGAAGCAGTTGGAGGACCACACACTGCGTGAGTTCTTTACGACGGCGACCAATCTGCGGGATCCGCTTAGTACGGCGAATAATTTGCACCGCGCAGGGCTCATCCGTGAGTATGATATCAAGCACGTGGCGGCAAAAATTCAGTACCTGCCACGTCCACCGATTGTGTCCATTATGGGCCACGTGGATCACGGCAAGACGACGTTGCTGGATTACCTCCGCAAAACAAATGTGGCCTCCGAGGAAGCGGGCGGCATTACGCAGAATGTTGGTGCTTTCCAAGTAAAAATATCGGACGGCCATTTTGTGACCTTCATCGATACTCCCGGACATGCTGCGTTTACAGCGATGCGGGAGGTGGGCGTGGCGGCCAATGATCTCATCGTCCTTGTTGTATCTGCCGTGGATGGGGTGCAGCCACAGACGAAAGAAGTCATTGGGCTTGCCCGCGACGCCGGTATTGCGCTTGTCGTGGCATGCACGAAGATTGATCGACAGTCGAAGGTGGACCCAATCAAACAGCAGTTACGTGATTGTGGCATTGAGTTGGAGGAGGACGGCGGGGACACGCAGTTTGTTTCGGTCTGCGGGCGTGATGGCACCGGGATTCCAGAACTTCTGGAGGCAATCTCCCTGCAGGCGGAGCTCTGTGAGATTAGTACCCCGGAACCATCCAGATGCGAGGTGACTGTCATTGAGTCACGTAGTAGCGATGTGAAGAATGAGGTGGCAGGCATCGTGCGCTGTGGAAAATTGAAGCCTGGACAAGTGTTGGTTGCAGGCATGACTTACGGCGTGGTGCGAAAGGTTATGGATAATAATGGGAATATTTTACAGGAGGCCGGACCCTCCATGCCAGTCATTATGCAAGGATTTCGTGTCCATCCCAAACCTGGTGTTGTGCTCATGCAGGTGAGCAGTGAATCTCATGCACAGAAGTATTATCTTTTTATGAAGGATGTATACAAGGTGGAGGGCCGACGTGAGGATTATTTACAGCTGCTGAATCAAGAGCAACATGGCATGATTTATGCCCGCAAACCAGATAACAACTTGGTGCGTACATACAGCACGAAGGCCTTTGTGCTTTCGTGTAAGGCGGCTACATTTGGCATGCTACAGGCTCTCATGAAGACATTATACGAATTGCCTCGCTTGGAAGGCGTCTCAACGGAGATTAAAGTAACCGAGGTTGGTGGTCTAAAGGATTACGATATTGCTCTTATTGGTAGCTCTGGACAGCCCGGATGCATTCTTCTCTACGGCGAGAGCAAGGACACAAACACGCTGGATGTGCCAAATCACGTCAAGGTGATCCGCTTCAACGTGCTTTACCATGGAATCGATGCCCTGAAGGAAACACTTGTGGAATCGCTTCCAAAAATCAGTAAGACGCGTGTCACGGCGGAGGCGGAGTGCATACAGGTCTTTCGTGCGTCACAGGCAGGAAGGAATGGCAATGCGGGTGGGATGCGGGTCACGAGGGGCAGCATCATTGGCTCGCATCTCACGTTCCGTGTCCTGCGCAAGTCTTCGCGGAGTAAACTTACGGGAGGTGACAACTCACCTAAGAAGGCAACCGGCGATGGGGATGACGCGGAGGATGCTCGCACGGTGGTGTACGAGGGTCAAATAAAAGAGCTGCGCCGCTTCAAAGAAATTGTGCCTTCTGTTGAAATGGGTCTGGAGTGTGGGGTCATTCTGCATGACGAGTTTCAGTTCCGTTTGGGGGATATTCTTCAACAGTTTGAGGTTTACGAGGAACCACGTGATGTCGCGGAGGAATACGAGGCGGCAGAACGGCGAGAAAAAATAATGAGGGAGACGGCGGCGTTGCAGGCTCAAATGGAGGAGGAGAAGGCTGGGGGAAATGCGGACGGGGCCGGCACCGTGTAGTCGGCCGTGTGGACCGCTGGCGTAATGGGAATGGAGCCTCTAAATATAAAACTTGATAGTGACGAATATTCACTGAAAGAGTTGGGTGCGTTCTTCTTTACATTTGGGCCTTTTTTTCTTTTTTCCCCCACCAATTAACCCGCGTGGTGTTGCCCATTCCATTTGCGTGTTTTAGCACAAACCAACCAATGAACATGCATGATCAATCATATCCGCAGGGAAAGAACAATTTGGGCATACAGTGATGATGATGGCAGGGAAGAATTTCTTTCCAGCCTGTGCGGCGCCACATGGGGAGGGGGCTGCAATCACTTGGAGTGCACTGAAGGAGTTGCTGTGTGGTGTGCGCTTCTCCTCCCGCCGCCAAGAGCGTGCGGCTCCACTTTTCTTTTTTTTTCTCTTTTCTTGGCGCGTGTGATGAGAGCAACTCACACACACACACATAAAAAAAAAAAAACAGTAAAAGAAAAGGGAGGATTACTTGTGGCATTAAATTTCAATGCGTCGTCGATTGTGCATCTCGCTTCCCCTTTTCACGGGGCCGAGCACCTCACGGGTGGGACGCCAGAGGGCACCAAAACTACCTCTGTCCCGTGACAGACATCAGAGACGGGTGGCGCTCTTCACATCAATGCGTGGACAGTCATCCTCCACTCTGCAGGGGGCTGATGGGCACAGTGGTGCGCGGAAGGAAGGAGAGGAAGGGGCAGGGCCTCGCTCCCCACTGCAGCAAGCACTGAGTTCTATGGGAAACGAAGCGTTTACAAGCCTGTTCAACTCGCGTCCCGTAGCAGAGCGGGCGGCAGCGATGCTTATTGCGCAACGATACCCCTCGGGAGGCGTCACGCTGAAGGCATTTGTGGAGCAGCTACCGAGTCTAAGCCGTGATGACATGTTTAGGCGTAGTATGAGGGTGGAAGACTGGGTGCGAGCGTGTACACTGATCCAACTTGAAGAGGATGCGCATGGCATCTGCCTTGTGAAACTTGCCGCGGATGCAAAGTTTTTTCTTCCCGGGGATGCGGCTGAGGATGCGACTGAGGAAAAAGAAGGCTTGCCACCCGCGAAGGTGGAGAAGCAAGAAGTGGATATGAATCTGATCGAAGAAGTGCTGCCCTTTCTGCGTCAGAGGGTGCTCGGCACGAGGGAGTCTGGCGGTTCAAGTTACAAGGCCCTCAACGACGCGTACTCATCGTTCATTCGGGAGGCGCTCACGAACGCCACCCTCCGGGGATTCGCGAACACCCTCAAGTACGTGGATTTTATCGCCATTCTGAGCTCTCCGCGTGCGAGGGAGGAGGTTTGGGTGCTGAATGAGAAATACATTTGCACCCGGCTTCCGGGAGAGACGCAGCCGCCACGGTTTGTGTCCCCACAGCCGCAGACGATAGTGGCACACGCACTAAATGCATACGGCGGCTGGGGTGCGGCATCCAACGTGCCAACACGGCAGGATGTGTACGAAATACTGAAATATGTACCCGTTGCCTGGGGGAATTTTGGTAACCTCAACATACCAGCCGCGGTGAAGAAACGACACATTCGTATCGCCTCTACCTTGCAGTGGTTTCGACGTCAGCCGTTTTACTTTGAACTCCGTAATCTTGCGGGGACCACGGAGATTCGTCGCAGCATTTTGTTGCACCCGGAGGTTCACGGACTGACCCCAGAGGAGGCCCATGAACGTCTACAGTTAAAGATTGCAAAGGGCGAGGCAAACAGTCTGGCTCCTGTGAACGCCGAAGGGGAGGTGTTAGCAGCGACGGAAGCGTCGCAGCATACAAATGCCCTTTTAAAATTTGTTGCGCGTGTTTGCCCGGGCTACTTTGTCCCTATTTCACTTCTTATGCAACGTTACACCAAGAAGAATTTGACCCCTGGCGAATTGCTTGCCTGTGCTAAAGGAAATCCTGATCAATTTGAAATCATTCAGCTAAAGTACACAGACATCCCTCTCCTACGGAAACGCATTGGCGCAGACAGCGTGCGATGGAACGATGGTTTTGTAGAGGATTTTGAGCGACACCCGGAGGATGTACGGGGCCTCATTGTTCTCATGGGACGCGTTTGCTCCACTTGGGATCGGCCTCACTATGTGTATGTTCGTCTGACGGAGGAGGAAAAGATAATTGTGGGTGGATTCGACGGCATGATGAAAATCCTGCGACGTCACCCGATGGTGTTCCGTGCCGGAGAGAACTTTATTTCCCGTGTGGATCTTTCCGATCCCCTCTCTTTGCGCGAATCCGAGCCGTCTCCGGAAGACATGGCGACCCGCGTTCCGATTCGTGAAGAAAACCCCTACCTGACTCCACGTGACCTGGCGGTGGTGTTTCATTATCTGGCCCCGGACGACGAGCCGTGCACGGCGGCTTTTTTTTTGCAGTGCGCTAGCCCGGCGATGCGGGCCGTTCTGCCACCGCGTATCGTCACTCTGTTGCAACTCTTCCCGAGCCTTTTTGTGTGTAAGGAAACTTCGCCGGGCGTCTTTTTAATGCGCAAAGTGAAGAAGTCCGCCCGACTATCGGCGGAGGTGTTCGCCGGAGATTCTGCGCGCGAGAAAAGGGAGGAGGTCTTCTCGGAAACGCCGTCCTCGCCAGGCCTTTCGCTGGAGCAGCGGCGGCGGGAGGATTTGGGTGAAGAAGGGGAAGCGGATGACGAGGCGGTGTTTGAGGAGAACGACGTTCTCTCCCGGGAGGAGGCGATTGAGGCGGTGAAAGTGTTGGTGCCAGCGGGCGGCGTGGAGGCCTCCCGGCTGCTGCTCTGGGCGTCTCTCGCCGTCCAGCAGGCCGCGAACCGGCACTACGGCGGCGTCTTGAAACTCGTGGAGGCCAATCGCGACGAGTTCCGCGTGCAGGAAAGCCCGGAATCCAAAATGATTTATCTCACAAAAGAGGGCCAAAAGTAATCGACAGAAGCGGGCCCGTGAAACGCGTTTGCTCCAAAGGCCCGTCGCCGGGAAGAAAAAAACAAAGACCGCGGAAAAACGAGGGAGGGAAAGGAAAAGAGAGTTTTCTTCGATTGCCCTTTTGTTTCTTTTTTTTCGGCGCCCGCGCGGTGCTTCCTTGCTGTCGGTTTTTCTCCCTGGCCTGCTGCCGAACCGTCCCCTTTTTTTCGCCCTTTTTTTCTTTTATCACTTAGCCCGCTGCCGCCGCGGCCCGCGCAAAGCAGAAGAAAGCCGGCGATGGCGCTTGCCCTTGAACACGTAAAGGAAAGAAGAAAAAGAAAAGCAACCCAGAAAAAATTAGAGTCCACAAGACGAATGGGGGCGGGAAAACACATTGGTCAAAAAGAAACGCGCTCGTGCGCTTTGCCGATTCGTTCGCCACGGGCGCCGGTGGCAATTTCTTCTCTTCTTTCCTCTTTCTTCCTTCCGTTTATTCCCTCCTCCCGTAAATCTCGCGGGCTGGGAAAGGCAGCGGGGTGCGGTTGTAGCGGTGATAAGGCACGCTGTCGTACCCAACGTAGCCGTCATCGGCCTTCCCTTGTATCTTCGTCGTGTTTCCCGGGTACGCGCGCACCAAACCCCACACATGCCGCGTAAAAAGGTGCTGCAGATGGTACTCCTGGTACTGGATGCGGCGGTACCACGTCGTCAGCTGCGCTGCGCGGGACCGTTTGTAGCCGGTCGTGTCGCCTATGCGCGGCGGTGGCTTGCACATGTGGAAGCGGTGCAGGTCTTTCTGAATCACCGCCGTGCGACGCAACGGAAGTTGATCGACCCCGAGGGTGAAATACATGAGCTTTTGCCGCACCATGCGCTCCGGATCTGCCCACCACCTTGGCCCGGTGCGTATCACTGAAATCGGCGGCGTCGCCACCGATTTTGTGAGGAACGTGTTGCGCCACACGCGCGTCGTCCCGAACATTTCTTCCTTCCCCCGCTGTTACTCCGCTGGATCTTCCTTTCGCTCCTCCTTTGTGCGCCGGCACGGGCTCTCCGCACGATGCCTCGTTGGCTTCTGCGATAAAAATAAAAACAAAAAACTACTCGCCTTCGCGCGTCACAGACGCCACTCTCCCCGCGCGTGCGGCGAGGCAAAAAAGAAAAAATAAGGAGGGAAAGAAAGAACAGAGAACGCAACAAAATGACGAAGACCAAACCAACAGACGAGCGCACGCGTCGCCGATAAGACGGAGCGGAGTCGTTTTTTTTTCACCCTCACTTTTCTCCCCCGTTCCCGTTTCCCATCTAACGTGACGATTGCTCCGGGCTACGGCTCATGGAGTCCCCGCTCCTCGCCCATAAGTCGTCTAAGCCACTTAGCGAGCCATCGTCGGAGTCAGCGGTTCCCCTCTGTGCTCGGTAGCGGCGCATTTGTCGTTCTTTTTCCCGCTGCAAACATATACGCCATTCGTCCGCCTCGTGAAGCGCGCGGGGGCCACCGGTGGAGTCGTCATCATCCCGACAGTGCTCCTCGCCGCCGCCGCCGCTGCGATAATAGCCGGGATGAGGAACGCCAAGATGAAGACGCACGCGCCGCCACTCATACAGGATGCCTTCTTCCGTCACTGCCACAATAAGTCCCATATCGGGTGACCACGCCAAGCTGCGTGGGATGCCACCGCACGGCACCGGCAGAGTCGCCATGACACTCCACTGAACCGGTTTTTGGCCCGTGAGACAGCTTTTCTTTACGTTCTCATCCTTCTGGGCCGGCAGGCGTGCCGGGGTGCAGGCAATAATTTGAACGAATCCTTCTTCACAGGTACACGATATTGTAGGGCAGCGCGTGTTGTCCACACAAAACGAAGTGCCCACCGACATTTGACGGATACGACATGCGCCCACGATGACTAGCATGGGAACCAGCTTGTATTCATGAGGAGTAGATTTGCTTGGCTGAACAGAGAGTACTACCAATCGATCCCGTGGAAATGAGGCGAGTAACATCACAGCGTACGCCGATCTGGTTGAGATTTTGCCATCCTTTTTGTTAGATAACATGTTTCCTTCATTGCGTTTCCACCCGCCTCCAAGCGCTGCTGCCGCCCACTTTTTAACCGTGCTTCTCTCATGGGCTTCTTGACCCATGCGTTGGGCGCGTAAAAGGCAATGAAACTGTTGGTGATTCATGGAGCTCGCCACCAAAGAAGCCACAGGTGCCCCTTTCTCTACAACGCACCCTGCCACCTTCTCAAATTGTGACTGACCTTCCGTTATTGTAGATGGCATGAACTCTCCCCGCTTCTCATGTTCGAGGTGCGATTCGACGGCGAATTGTCCTGCCGCCGTCGCCGCGCTGTGTAATGATGATGGCGTGGAGGGGTGCGGCTCTTGCGGCAGCAATGATTGTGGCAACGTTGTTGGCTGCGATCTTTTTCTCGCTTCATTCACATCCTTTACGACGGAGGGGCATGCGATGTCGTCCACGCTACTCACACGGTATCGCCACACGGTGATGGCTCCATGCGCGTCTCCCAGGAAGAGAAACGGATAGGTGCATGGCTCCATTACCAGCGCTGTTGCTTCCACGCGTATGAGTTGCCCCTTGCGCGTCACCGGAAACCCTGTGGAGCTGTTGTAAAGACGAAGCAGGTGATGCCTCGGGAGGGAGACAAGGAGATAGTTATTATTCTTTGGCATAAACCGCACCGCGACCGGCACACCACCGTCGGTGTTGATGCGACGGACTTTGGATGGCGTTCGCTGATTCCACAGTATGACACAGGCATCAGCCCCCGATGAGGCAAAACACGTGCCCACATCGTCAAAGGCAATGTCCGTCACGGCGCCGCTGTGGCCGTGAAGCGGAAGCGGACTCGTCGCCGTGGTGCTGATGATGTGGCCGGCCTTGATGCTCACCTGGACGAACCACAGTTTGCCGCATTCTGTGCCTACAATGTAGCAGTCCCCTTCTGGGGAGAAACACACCCGCGTGCATCCATCTTTTTCAGGGGCAGAAGCAACCAGCTCGGTGTGCCGCGGGGCTGGCAAGGGCCACGAACCATTACCGCTCCGACTCTCATCCGCTGTAGCCTTCTTCTCGCCACCCTCATGTTTTCTTTCGGCAGCTAGCGGCAACATGCTCAGGTCCACAATACGCGCCTCAGGGGAGAAAAGGTACGACGCATATGGTGCCTCTTCGCCTGCACCAATTCTGTCAAACTCCAACTGTGCCGTGACCGCCGTGCTCTCACTGTGGACACCTGCGACAGCCAGAAGAGCCGAGTGATGTCGCAAATGCGTTGCTAAACTATTCGCATTTGTTCCACCCTGGGTAAGTGAGGCAGAACCCCAGCGGCGATGAAAATTACTGGAAGCGTTGAGGGGCGATTCATGCCCACGCGCCAGTTCATGAATGTAGACATCGTCCGTAGAGGCATGGGAGGCCGCGTATGTGTCTTTTGAACTGCTCCTGTCACTGCGGTCGCCCGTCAAGGTGAACGCGGAGGAACTACTCGTTCGTGCATGACGATCATTTTCTTCATCCTGGTGGTCGTCATTGGCGTCGTCAATGTCACCGCACACGGCGACGGCGGCAGCAGCGACAGGATTACTTGCGAACCAACCCCGCTTCTGACCGGGGTCCGTCCGTTTCTGTCGCCTCTCCCGTCGCTTTTCCACCGCCTCCAGTCGCTGCGGCAGCGTTGGGAGTTGCCAGCGCAGCGGCGGAAGCGGCAAGGTCTGTGCGGTGATGGATGTCCCTTTCTCTTCCTCCTTCACTTCCTGAGAATGATCCTCATGTGTTTGTTCCCGCGTCCGTCTCGCATCCAGCTGACACCTGTCGCTGCTCCCCTCCTCGAGATCCACCGAGTGGAGGGAGTCGCTGTGCGCCCACACGGTGCGCTGCCGTGGCGGCGACGGGGTTACGGATCCCGCGTGCATTGCACTCTCCTGCCCGGGATTATCATCACCGCTCACCCGCCCGTGCAATGCAAGCAGCAGTCGGACTCGAAGGATGGCGATGCGCAACTCTTCCCCGCAGTCTTCACTTGCGACTCGTGGTGTCATCATTACGCAGTAAAAAAAAACAAAAAAAACCTTTTTCTCCATGCAAATAATAATAAAAATAAAGAAAAGAAAAAGAAATAATAATAATAATAAAACGGGAAAAAAAAAATAAAAATGGATGCTTCCCCTTTCGGCCACACAATGCACATGCACATATAGTGAGTAAAATTCTATGCTCACAATGCGAGAATATGTAAGTGGAAATAAATGTTATGTATTCCAAGTTACGAGGCCGTAACCAAATTATGCCTAATAATAAACAACCACCACCAATAACATCACATCAAAGAGCGATATATACGGCAGTGCCAGTACTCAAAAAAAAAAACAAAAACAAAAAAAAAGGAAAGAAAATAAAGCAAAAGAAGCAGGTCGATAGAAAGTTAGAGGGATATGCATAGAACACATCTAAGTCGTTAATTTTCCTGTTCTCCGCTAACTTCCAGTATTCTTCGCGCTGCTGCTTCAATGGAGAAAACGTGCTCGTCGACCGCCTGTATTTTCCGCAGCTCTGCGGCAAGATTAAAAAGATACTCCGAGTTTGGCCCGCTATCCCCCGAGCTCTCCAATATCTGCGCCGCAATATTCTCCTCCGTCGCGGCCCCCAAATACTCACTGTTTTCCTCCGTCGCCATGTAACACAGGCACAAGGCTCCTTGCGGCAGTGCGAGTGGCTCCCGTGTGTGCAGGTCATTTAACACCACCTCCACGCGCCGATACCCACCACGCTCGCGGTGGTCAAGCTGGGCGAGAATCGCCGCCAGCGCAGTAGGGTCCGACGGCAGTTCATACGCAATGCCCGCCACCCATGAGTCAGGCGCATCGCTTGGCAGAAGTGTCACCACACGCCCGGGTTTACCAGGTGTCCCGCGGTGGTCCGTGCTACCTTGGTAGAAAACACGCCTGTAGCCGGAGATGCAAGACGGGTAGCTGCGGGTGTACGCGAAATCCTGCTTCCACATGATGGATCCATATCCAAAGAGGAAAGTAGGCGGCAGTTCAGCTGGCGTGTCTTCTTTGGCGATATTTGTCACGTCCATTCCTTCCCTTTTTTTGTGATTGTTTCAACGCACTCCTTCTGTCTTCCTTTCCCTAGATATATATATATATTTTACTGTCTGTCTGTGTGTCTCTTCGTCCCATCAAATATAACCGCGGTAAAAAAGTCGTGATTCCATACATTGAGAAGGGAGGGAGGGGACGGGGGGATGCATGCATGGGCGCGTGACGGCTCCAAGAGGAAATGGGGCAGTCCACTCTGCACATGTGGGGGCGAGAGAGAATGGGTTCAGAAGCCTCATCCACACACACACACACAACAACAACAAAAAAGAGATTGTGTATTGGCATCTTCCAGTTTCATAGGCACCTAATATGTGAAAATATACATGTATACACGCATATATAAAATAAATTATATTTATTTATTTATTTTATAGGGGCAATAAATTGCACGGGCATCAATGGACGGGCATTTCTTCTTCTTTTTCTTCTTATTGTTCCTTCACCCCTTTGCAGCGTGTTCCCCTTTTTTCAAATCCATTTCCAGCAACCATGAACCTCTTCCTTCTTGTTTCACATCTGTACATTTGGCAATTGGCAAAACAAACAAACAGGAAACCAATAAACAACAAAAAGGACCGTCACACCAACACCGCCACTGCTGCCACCCACCCACCCACCCTCTCCCTCTCTCTCTTTTCCACCTTCAGAAAGATGACATTTCAATCCAAAACCCTCGGGATACACTCCCCTTTTTGGTAGACAAACGGTGTGTTCGCGTACGGCTCGCGTCCCGCCAGCCGCTGCATCGGAAGTCGATGGCACAGTGGACACGGGCGTGTCGCATCAATTTTGATGTTTGACATGAGGGACACGACGTTCTCCACGTTTTTTTCATCGGTACGTGCGTCGTGTTCTAAACGGGGGGCAAACGATGCCGTCTTCGTGCGTCCAGCGTCCCCTCTTCTGGGGGATGTGATGCTGCTCAAAGTGCTGTTGTGGGTGCGTGAATAAGAGGGCGAATATTTAGATTTCACCGCGTTCTCCAATGCCGGTGTGGCGGCGGACGACGGGACCGCCACCGTGTTTTCCAAAACAAAAGCCACAGAGTCATTCACATCCCGTATGATTTCGCTTGCCGATCCACTTCCCACACTTGCGTCATCAAAACGTGGCATATCGGGAGGGGCAGCAATCGCACCTCCTCGACTTTGTCGCCTATCTGTGCGGTGGCTCACAAACCCCTTCACATCCTCCACTTCTGGGGGCTCTGACAATAACGGATTTGCGACCCCTGACATAAAAGACGGCCGACGACCGATTTTGTTGTGTCGCGGCGCTGCCGGGTCTTTTGCCACGGATGATTTCCTCTGAGAAAGTTGTTGCCATTTGCGGGAACGGTATGCACGGTATGTGTGTTGAATAATATATGCGGCCTCCTCCTGTCGACTCAGACCATATGGAATTTGTATGTTTACAGTGTCCTCGCCCGTGGCAAGGTCAAGCGTGCAATACGTCTCCGGTGATGACACCACGAAGCGTCCAGCACCACGCCCCTCTGCATTGTCCGTGTCGCTCTGATTTGCGGCAAAAAAGGGGTGTGACATTATGTTCTCAACACGCATGCGCCGCGAGGGTGTGGGATGCAAGAGCCGTGCCAGGAGGTCCCTCGCGTCTGGGGAGAGGGTGGGATCGGGAGGACGGATGCGGTTGTACATAATATTCTTCGTTGTGTTGGCACCATCGTGCGGGTATCGGCCGTGGTGCAGCATGAAATACAACAACACTCCCATGGACCACGCATCGGCAAGGTAGGGGTCATATCCTTCATTCCGCAGCACTTCCGGTGCAACTGTGTGTGTCGTTCCGCGAATATCATGACACATTTCCCCTTTTGGGAAGTATGCGCAGGAGACAAGGTACCCAATCTTCACCTGATCCCGATCGTTCACCATCACATGATCCGGGGCAAGTCCAAGATGCACGACATTGTGTTCATGCATGTGAAGTAGCCCGCGGACCACCTGGGCGTAGTAATGTTTGGTTTGCTGAATGGGAATCATAACACGATGCCCGGAGGCCGTTTCACTAGTGTATAGCTTCGTCACCTGCAGCGGGGCGAACAGCTGCATGAGAATATACAGAGAGGTCTGAGTCTCAAAACATTCAACCGTCTCAATGAGATTCTCGTGTTTGGGCAGCGTGCGCATGACATTGATGGCATCCCGGGTGCGGTCCCACATCCACTGCGCCTCGGCCAACACACTCTTGTTGTAGATGCGCACCACGTACTGCGCCCCTGTCACAATGTGCGTGCAGAGACGCGTTCGACAGTCAAAGTAACCGGATGCAAGGACCTTCCCTAATTCATACTTCCCCACAATTTGCTTGCGGTACGTCGTCATATGTGGAGGGTAACGGGGGGTGAACAAACAAGTAAATGTACCCTTCTTCTCCCTTCTGGTTTGTAAGTGACAGTACAGGGAAAAAAAACCACAATCCAAACAAAATACCACCACCACCGACAACGACAACAGCAACAGCAATTTGGGCGGCATTCGTATATATATATATATATGTATACATTTCATTATTTGCTGTTTACTTTACTTGGCCATTTTCCCTCTCTCGTTTCATTTACCGTGGCAGCTCCCTCCCGTCTAAATCGCTGTAAACCTTTCCACGCACCTCATCACGGAAGCCGTTGTATCGGTTCATCGCCTTCTTCTGCACACGCTCGGTGAGGGAGCGATCGCCATACGTCGTGGCACTGTTGGGATCGTTTTCGTCTTCCACCTCGCCCTCCATTCTGTACAGTAGCGTCTTCTCCACCTCCTGCACCAACCACGCCGCCACCGGCTTCGCCACGGGAGGGTCTACGCCAAAACACCGTTTGAAGAGTGTACCAGGGTCAAAACGCACGACTTCTGCGTTGTTGGGCAGTGAAGGGGTGCTCCAGAGCATCTGTCGGTAAACAGACCCACCGAGGCCCTGCATGTTGACCTCGCGGGCAAGCGACAGACGGTGCAGTGCACTCTCATTGTCAAGGAACCCGTCCACTATCCGTGATGTCGGGTCAAGGAGTGTTGTTCCCGTGTCCTGCAGCGTCAGGTGGAAGCCAAGGCCGGGTACGCGTAGTTCGTAGGGCGCGGTGTAGCGGTCCGCGGCGGCGTCAAAGGTGGCATCTATGCAAACGTCATTCTTCCAATCGAGGTTGACGGAAAAAATTTTCTGTGGGAGCCTCCCCCAACAGATGCTCCTGCAGATGGAATTTGCCATCCATGCGGTGCGCTGCCAGTGAATGCGGTCCATCACGGCGACGCGAAGGCTCAGCGTTGGATGCGGCGCGGGGTCAAAGCAACGCTCCAGCCATGTCTGCTTCAGCGGGTAATTCCTCCCCGCCACAAGCGTCAAAAAACCAAGCGGGACAGTCCCACCACCAGCACCATCGGACGCATCCGCCGTGCCATCGTTTGGCGACTGTTGCCCCGTCGAGGAGGACACCGAGGTTGTGGACGGACTTGTCAGCTCGCCGAACTGCTCCGCCTCATAGCGCCGATGCAGGACACGCTGAAGTTCCGCCAGCGGCATGTACCATGTGACAATGGCGGCATCCGTCGTACGTATCGCCGTCACGACTTGATCGGGGTCAGACGGACTCATGATGAGGTGATCCAGCGGGGCGCGAATGCGTCGTGTGCAGCGGGCAACAGCGGCAGCGGTGGTGCCGACACGCGCCATCAATAAATATAAAGACCGACTAATAAACACACACACACACACAATAGAAAAAAGAAAAATGGCGTAAATAATGATACACAACATAAAATCACAGCTGCGTAAATTTTTAGGGAATAAAAAACTCATAATCCCACAACGCTGAAGATTAAATTTTCTTGTATGTGCACATGTACGTACGTACACATTATGTGTACTCCTGTGACAAGAGGAAACAAACAAAAACACACGCACACAAAAAAAAAGACATGCAGCAGACGCAGCAGTGAAAGATAAAAAAGAAAAAGGAAAAGAAACAAACAAACAAAATAAACCGGGTAATTCTCACTGTGATGACAATTAATAAAAAATATGTTTATAGCAGAGAAATCATGTGTTTTATTCACACATTTTCCCCCGCCGCCTCATGCCATCTCAAGAGCAGAGACTTCTGTCGTTTATAGGTGTCCAATGGACTCTGCCATGAGGTCTTCCTTCAGAGACCGCCACGGTGTAAACAATGAAGAGAGACTGACAAATACAAACAACATGGAGGTCCCAATGGATCCACGCAGTCACACACCTCCGACCCGAACTACAGAGTAGATTTCATTGCGACGGAACCGTAAAAAGGCAAGCACCGTTGTTTCATTTCCCCCCTTTTTCACTTGTCCTTACTGCCGCCTCGGGCGGATCGACGCTTCTCAACTGTCGTGGGTTTCCGTGGGCGCGGTGTCGACAGCACCGACGCAAAAGGGGATGCATTGGAATGAGTGAACCGCAATTTTTTCAGCTGTAACTTTCGTGCAGGTGCGAACAACCGTGCCGCCAGGGCCTGCCGACGTTCTCTGCTCATGCGAACAACGATAACGCAGAAAAGCACGGCTGTAGAAACAACGCGCCATCGGTGTAAAACCTGACGGGCCGGGCTATGATGACTTCGTTTTCTCTGTGTAATCCGCCTCTCTGTGGCGGCTGTTGTGTTTGTTGTTCTTTTCCATTTCTCAAGCCCCGTCACGCGGTAGAGCACGGGAGAGGGGTCTCGTTGCAAAATTCCCACCACGGAAGCTGCAGAGGGTAACGATGGACTTCGATGCTCGTTCCCTCTTGGCAACAATGCCGGGTCCCCGGCGGTGGATGCTGACAACCGCCGCCCTCCCAACTCCCGGGAGGCCGTCTCGTTCAGTGTGTTCTGTGACGCGAGCTCTGAAACCAGCAGCGCGAGTTCATGGAGGCTCATCCGTTGTTTGGGATCGCCGTGCATCACCCCCACCATAGAGTGTCGAAGGGCAACGTACACCGCGTCTTGCCTCTCCCACGTCATTGCAAATGTGAGGGCACCAACGGCAAAGGCGTCACCGGCCACTGTGACATGGCGCCAGCGAAACGACGGATGTTTGGCTTCCGGCGCTATGTAAAATGGGTGCGTTGCGCCTCCAGCGGGAACAACGCCGCGTGGGCATGGCCGCACCTCTGAAACCGCAAACCCCGTCACCGACGCATGGCCTTCTGCGTCAAGGAGAACAGTCCATGGTGATAATGCGCCATGCACAACACCGTGTTGGTGCAAAAAGAGCAAACCGTCAACTACCTCCTGCAAAATGCGCATGAGCATGGACGGGGTCAGTTCACGATGTATCATGTGAGGATGGCGTTGAAGGGCAGAGACTAGTGGCTGCATGCCGTCCACATATGGGTGCACGAGCAACAACTCCTGCCGTTCCTCGTCGATAAGCACGTCTGTTACCGGGCTCACATTTGCATGACGGAGACTCAGCAGGCCATAAATGCGTCGTTTCCATGCCGCTGTAAAGGGAATACACGACTTATCCCCGCTTTCCAGAAATTCCGCCGGTGACGCATCGGTCTCGCAGCAATATCGGTAGCGCCGTGTGGTGACAAGGCAGCCGTCAACGGTGTCTCTGGCCAACATGACAATAACCTCCAACTGCCTTCCCCAGTTTAACGGAAGCAGAGTCTTGTACCGCTGTTCCCACTGCGACATTGTGGCAGCGGTCGACGGCACTCTTTTTCCGTCGTCAGAGGCTCCCCATGGAACGCGTCTGTGCGTCTCCACCTCCGCCTCTTCTTCCGCTCCTTCCGCCTCCACGTGAGGGGGCGATGGCTCAGACAAATCAACGGTGCTGTTGTCTGTATCCACCACGGCCATGATGGGACGCGTAACACCACCACCACCACCACCACTGCTGCTGCTGCTGCTGCTTTCGGTATCGCCGAATAGAGTTCTCCTCGCGCTCCGTGGCACCGTGGGCCATAAGTCCGAATGGAGCGGCGTCATGGTGATCGGTCGAATTGGCGGTGACCTTTCGGCATCTTCCTCCTCATCGGACGTGCCGCTCATACCTCTCCCAGTCCTCGTTGAAGGAAAAGAAAAATATATATATATATAAAAGACAACACCAAGAAGAAAAAAAAGGTAAAAAGTAGAAAATAAAGTGTAAAAAGTAAAACCACTTTTATTTTTAATTTCCACAAATTTCCCGCCTGCACAACGTCGCCTCTTCATATCCATACACATGTATATGTGGGATATGGACAGGCAACATTTTATGATGATATGCTCAATTCACACGTAGGCGAGTAGATAAAAAAAAAAAAAAAAAGAAACAGCAACAATACACACACACACACACACACGTACACCCAAAAGAGAAATAATTCAGAGAGTCGGGATCATCCTATAAATAAACAGACACCAGTACATGTATGTATGTGTACATGTGTGTGCAGCTGCCACCGTCCCACTATTCTCCGGAACACACTAAAACAACAACAACAACAACCAATAATAGCAGTAAAAAAAATAACATAAATTTTTCTCCCTCTCTTCTTCCTTTTGAATTCCATCCTTCCTTGCAATGAACGAGATATTTTACTTTTTTTTTTTTTTTTAATCTCTCTCTCTCTCTCTCTATCGGTGTCGTCATATGTATGTAAGCGTGTATGTGAATGGCCGTCAGTCAAAATGGCTTGCACTTCTTCCCTTTTTCCTCATTCAATATGTTCTTATCTGATAGTCCCCGCTTTGTGTGACGTACCGGACCCACGGCAGCGCCTCGTAGTTGGACCTTTCCATCACCTTCAGGTAGCGCACCTGGAAGCCGGAGGCGGTGAGGAACGGAATCTCAAACTTCACTTGGATGGGCGCCTTCTGAAGAGCCTTTGGATCGCTGCTGCGTACTGACGGCAGATGAAATTTGCACAGGCAGCTGAACTGCTTTCCCCCGCCAGTGTTACGTAGGCTCCAGATGAGTACACTCGACTCTGGCGCGTAGCGGAGTTTCCCCAGAGAACATTTCGCCTCCGGTTTATCCGCATCGCCTGGGATGGGAATGAGAATGTCAATAAAGTCTGCCGTCGTGTTGCGCCGAAATGTTGTGCGGGCTGTGATGTGCATTTCCACCTGCGTCGAACTCATGCTGACACATGCACAGTCCACATGCACAAGTGGGGTGATCTTCTTGCTTGTGCGGTATGTCATGAGGTCAAACTCACCATCGGGTGGGATGAAGGTGATGATGCGGTCGCTCTCAAACTGATCGAGGCGTACACACTGATGGAACTTCACGTCGGCCATTTCGATCAGTCGCCCTTGTCGCCGTGTCATTCCAAGCACAGCCTTGTCGTTCAGGCCGAGCTTCAGCGTGGGCATGCCGGAGAGTCGAACCCGCATCTTCAGTTGGCCCACAACTTCGCTGGAGAGCGTTTCCCCCTCCGGCGACGCGAGAAGGCTGACGCTTTCCACCACGTCTAAAAACACCTCGTTTCTGCGGTATTTGTACTTCCCCGGCATACGCCACGGTGTTCCCCCACCCACACCCGTCACCGCTGCTGGCAGGGCCTTCACAGTTAATTTCTCTTCCGGCATTAAATACGAGATAAGGCCTTCTTGTGTGATATATTCCTTCAATACCTTCGCCTCCGTGTACTGTGGTAGGCCAAAGTCACAGATCTCATCCAGAAGCTCATATACAATAACGAAGTTATCCACAACGGTCTCTTCAGAGACACGTGTAAAGTATCCTTCAAACACCTTAGTGCATGCATGCATGAAAGCAATCTGCTGTAGAGGACATATATTGATCTTACTAACCATCAAAAAGAAGACATCATTCACGCGAATAAAACAATACGTATGGCCTTGTTCCTCAAACACAGGTGTAACACGAAACTCCTCTTCGTCCAGAACACGGCGTTGAAATACCTCCGGCGGGTTCTGCTGAATGTCGCCACGGTACGAGCGGCAGATGAGCGGGGCACCCTTGCTGTCTAGGATGTAGAACACTGACGCCATTTGCGTAGCGTCCAGAACAAGCAAACCAACTACAAACAATAAATGTATACAGGGGGGTAGGGAATGATAAAGGAAAAAAAAAAAAAAAAAGAAAGGGACACAAGCACATCCAACAAACAAACAACATCATCGTGTACTTACGATTTAAGAAGCAATAGATAAAATTCCTATATATATATATATATATATATATATACACGGAAAGGATAAAGATGCAGGCACACTGTACCCCATACACCCCTTGTTCTTTAGTCCATTACAAAGCCGTTGCCCATCGCAGCTCAACGCCACACATTCTAAAATTGTTTTCGCATCACACAGCATCTTTACCTACCGCCTCACGTCCATCTGCATTCTCCGCATTATGTTCCGTCATAAATTGGACACCCACACCAGATGTGCAAAGTGGAGGCAGAAGCTTCATGTAACGCGACAAATTCCATCGTAAAAGAAGCATAGTTTTATGCTAATTCCCACGGTTCCATGCAAAAGGTCAACGATAAGCAAGTCGATCTTGACAGGATCCTGCAGGAACATCATGGCGGCCGCGGGCACAGTGCTCACATCGGAGAGGTACACGACACAGCTGTGGTTTGCGACGATGGCGCCAGTGGCACCGGCACTGCGAAACGCAACGCCACGACCAAACACAAAACCAAGAGCCACGTACCCCGCGCCGTGCTCCACCGGTACGGCATGGAACTTGAAGTCGGCACCAAGCGCGGGGATGCAAAATGGCGTCGGCGTGATCGTGTGTGAGGAGCAGGGCGTCAACAGTCTGCACTTGGTGCTTTGCAAGCACGCGGAAGTACGCGTCGCGAAATGTCTTGCCGCAGTCGATAAGAACACGTCTCACGCCACGACCGTCACTGTTTGTTGGAGCCATTTACATGGCTGCCCGCGGAGTAAGGTTATCCTTGCTGCTGAATTCCATCGTACGCTTACCAGAGCTGCACATTGGAGGTGTAGTTACTACGACTGGTAAGAGAAGAAAAAAAAAAACCAAAAAAAAAAAAACCGTCACCGTTGCTGCTGCCATGAGGCGATGGGACCGTAATGAGGAGGCTGACGTTGTTGCGCCTGTTTGGCCCCTCCGCATCCCGCATCGCCACGGCACACGCGCAGTTGCCTGAGAGATGCCCAATCACAGGTACGCCGGTGGAGCAACCGCTCCTCACCCACACAAAAACACACACAAAAAAGACTGATAGGCGACTCCGGGCCTCAGGAATAAGCCAAGACATCCTCTGGCTGCATGATGGTGTCATTCACCAATACATCTTCACACCCACGGGTATGAAGGAAGCAAACAAATGCAGAAATGCTCACATCATGTGCGGCGACGCATTAAAGCGCAAAAACGCACAGTCACGTAAGGAATATTACAAAATGAAATGCAATCACCTGCTCCTTCCTCAACTGCCCTCGCAAAAAAGAAAAAAAAAACAATAAAAAAACAATAAAAAACCATCTCATAGCGGCAACAGGATATGAAGCCCATCAAACCCCAGCTCTACAGAAAGAACATTGCTGCCGCATTTGCCGCTGCATCGCAGTTCTTCCAGTCGTTCTCGTAGCTGCTGATTACCTCGCTCATGCTCCACATCGCAATACATGCCAATCGTATACGTGCAAGTCGGCTGAAGAGACGCCACAAGCTTTATCACATCATCCATGCAGTAGTGCGTTTCGTACCGATAACCGGGTCCATGCAAAAGATCAACAATAAGCACGTCGATCTTGACAAGATCCTGCAGGAACATCATGGCGGCCGCGGGCACAGTGCTCACATCGGAGAGGTACACGACACAGCTGTGGTTTGCCACGATGGCGCCAGTGGCACCGGCACTGCGAAACGCAACGCCACGACCAAACACAAAACCAAGAGCCACGTACCCCGCGCCGTGCTCCACCGGTACGGCATGGAACTTGAAGTCGGCACCAAGCGCGGGGATGCAAAATGGCGTCGGCGTGTCGTCCGGCAATGTAAACAGCTCGAGGGCGGTGGAGCGGCGTGTCCCAATTTTGTTTGTCAGACCCGCCCGCTCGCGCTCTTCGGCAAAATGCTGCATGATCGACTCATGCTCCTCCGCGGTCCGTGGCGCGGGCCCCATCACGCGGCTGTTGCGGTGTATGTACCCAAATTGACACCGCAGCGCATTCATCGTCTTTGCCGAGGCATAAGTCGGAATGTACTGCTCGACAAACCAGTTATTGTGGCCATCTAGCGACATTCGCTGCAGGTCGCGCATGTCGTCCAAGCCACCCACGGCGTCGACGTGATCGTGTGTGAGGAGCAGGGCGTCAACAGTCTGCACTTGGTGCTTTGCAAGCACGCGGAAGTACGCGTCGCGAAATGTCTTGCCGCAGTCGATAAGAACACGTCTCACGCCACGATCGTCACCGTTGCTGCTGCCATGAGGCGATGGGACCGTAATGAGTAGGCTGACGTTGTTGCGCCTGTTTGGCCCCTCCGCATCCCGCATCGCCACGGCACACGCGCAGTTGCCTGAGAGATGCCCAATCACAGGTACGCCGGTGGAGCAACCGCTCCCCACAATTGTGAGCGAGAAGGTGCTGCCGTCCATATTTGACATTTTTTTCGTCAACCAGCAGCTTGTTTATTCGATGCTGACTAGCTTTTATGCTGCTCACTTCCTTCTAACTTATTCCTTGCTACCACCACTTTAGTGTAAAAAAAGGAGAGAGGCAAACGCCTATTTACCCATCCAAAAGTGTTTCTTCTCCCCTTTTCTTTTTATCCCATGTACGCATATGCGTGCATGCAGCTGAAAACAGGCGCTGCGTACTCACCCTCCTAAACTACTATCTTATTCTACTTTGCTTTTCTACCTTCTTTTTTCTTCTTCTTTGGCTTTTTGATGGCGCGGGCCTCGTCCCACACGAGGGGTCCTCTCAAGTTGGCTGCATTCAACGTTCCGCCTCGGACCAGGCGACGAGACAGACACCGCGCTCGTACCACGCCCGCATCGGCGAATGGACGGGGTCCACTGTGAGTTCCACCACCTCAAGCATCGAATCTCGTCGAGGGTTCACGTAAAACGGTGTCGCGAAGCATCTACTCGTCGGGTTTTGTGACAGCAATCGCATCAACAGGGACGTCTTCGACACAGGCAACAAAACTTCAACCGCTGTGGCCGCCGGGATCGGCTCCCAGGAGAGCAAAGCGCCGACAGGTGTGGAGGAGGTACCGGATGTGGCAGGGAGAAGTTCACACGTGCCACATTTCGCTTCAAGGCGGGCGGAAAAAAGTGTCAGGCCGACAATGTGCCACGTGTGAGACTCTTCAATGTTGTTTGCAGCGTGGATTTGCGCCGCTTCCTCCGACATAAGTTCCAGCCGCAGCTGCAGCTGTTCAAGCGAGCGATGTTGTCGACGTGCCGCCTGCTGCTTTGTCGCCGTAAGAAACGCCCCAGGCCAGAAAAGAAGACCAAGCGAGAGACATTTTTTACCAAGTGTCTTGTTTTCCACAGCCTCATGCATGAATTGGGCCTGCGCAACGCGGTTCCGGAAGTCAGAAATCCACTGGTCGGCTGTCGTTGGAAATGTGTGGTAGGAGCGGGCCCAGCGTGGTGGCACCTGGTCCATCAGCACATGGTCTATTAAGACACGCTGTGTCGCTGTTGGGTTCCGTGATCCAGCACAGATATCTTCCAGCGCTTCAAGATCGTCAAGAATTTCACCTAGGCGTTCCAGCGCAAAGGTGTACTCCCGCTGTATGGCTATTACCGTAGGCTCCAGGCTAGTATTATTGCTTGACGTGGTCTCCACTGCTGCAGTTGCAGAAAATGAAGTTGTCACGGTAGTTCTTTGCGGTCTCATGCACCCAAGTGCGTTGAGCGAGTGACGCCACATTTTGCAGAAACGTTGAATTTTCTGCCCCCAGCGCGTCTCCCCAATGCTGCGTGGTGCGGCCTGCTGCACAAAATGTTCCTCCTCATTGTCGGTATTTGTGCCGTCATTGTCCCCCTCCTCGATGAGCCTCACAATCGCCAGACGCTCAATCGTCGCGACTGCGTGCTGCGCCGACATGACGCGTGAAGCACTGGCAGGAAGGCGCGCCCACAACGGCGTCTGTGCATCCGGCAGCGCTCGCACCCACTCTTGCACATCCTGCAGCGATTCGATCGAACGACATCTGAGACGGGAGTTGATTTCATCGTCCTCCGTTAAGGCAAAAAAGCGATCATCATCGAAAACAGCCGCGCTCATGAGCTGTGAACATAAGAAGTCAAGAAGCAGCTGATCGAACTCGTTGCTGATTTTACCGCCGTATAATGTTGTCCCAATAATTGTTTGCAGTGCTGGCCATGGGACACTGGCGCGGTCAATCCCTTTTTTGCCGTCCATACCACTGCTTCTACTAGTAATTCCCACCCAACTGTCCACGGTCTGTAAAATACGCCAAAACTCGGTGTCATTAAACTCATACTGCGTACTCCACCCCATAGGAATGTACAGTAGCCGTTCCATAACTACCGCATGCAACCAGGCCGCGGCAAGGTAAATGCGCTGAATGTCTACAGGCTGCTTCGCGAAACTGGAGTGTGGCTTTAACGCTCCCACTGTCTGCAACAAAGATGACTTCATCCCAGGCGGAGGCTCGTACACTAGCACCACAGATGCCTCTACAAGGCTCACAGGAAGCTCCACCAGCGACTCATCAAGATGTTTCGTACGGCTGTTATTACTATTATTTCTACTCGTAGCAAAACTGCTGCCAGGAATGCCTGGGGCGGCCTCAATTGAGAGAACGAGACGAAAGTTACGGTGCAATCGTCCCTCCGACCGTTCTCGATGCAGCCATTTTTCCACAACATCGGCGTATGCCCGTGCGAGGTGAATATTCTTCAAAAGCACCCATGTTCCTTCTACCATAGCGTCTTTCAGATAACGCCCCGCCATGTCCAGTCCGGTGGAACTGCCCATCACAGCGACCCGCAGCGGCACATCCAACGTCCGGGCCAACGCCTCCAACGTCAACGTCGGATCGCTGCCGGCGTTTGCAACTAGAATGAGTGGTGTGCTGTCGGAGAGTTCTGCCTGCACAACGGCAAGATCAGGTGCCTCCGCTGTAAAAAAGGAACTGTCGTTGATCTTCTCATCTTTTTTTTCGTCCGGATCCCCGCCAAAAAAGCGACGAAGAAATTCCTGAACGGCTGGCGCAAATGCATCCCGGCGTGTGTAAAATAGCAAGAGGGCAGCGGTGAATGCACGACGGGTGTACTCCCGATGATCGCGACGGCCGGCACGGTTGTATTCACTGATGTTAAACGCCGGCATTTCCTCGGTGTACGGTGCGGCGGCCTCAAAGTACCTCCGCCATGCCTCCGCGTGCCGCGGATTCAACAAAGACGCCCGCAGCTCGGCAAACAGTGGCCGTTGCAACAATGCCGCAAGGGCTAACTCCGAAGAGGACGCACACACACCGCACTCGCGTAGAATGACTGGTACCGTATGCGACGCAACGTCCCTGCCACCCGCGAAGGCAGTCATGTCGCGTTCGTCCTTTGCAGGGTTGTGCAAGACATCTTCAAACCAGCCCCATTCCTCCACGGTGATTTGGCGTCCCACGCGGTCATCAATCCCACTACGCAGTTTACCAAGTAGGATGGCAAGTACAAGATGGTCCTGCACAAACATCCCGCGTCGCACCCGTTGGTGAGCAAGGTTAAAAACGTGGCGTGTTAGCACCTGCAGACGTGCTGCATCATCTTCTCGCTCATCAACCCTACTGACATCCGTAGAACGTGCAGGGAGTGCTGCCAAAGCGTCCGCAAGAAGACGAAAAACAAAGTCCACATTGAACTGATACAACCAGTGCAACCGTGAGAAACGACGCAAGGAAAAGTACATTTTTGCCACTACCTCCGCGAGCGGTTGGTACTGCGCCTCGACCTCCGTGATGGCTTGCATTGATGCTTCGCTCTCCGCAATGCCGGCTTTAAGCGACTCGGTTTCTCCTTTCAAACGCTCCAGTGCGACGGTCAGGGCGTCGTTCTCTAGCAGACTCCCTTCGCAGTGTGCAATGGAGGTAAGCAGCTCCTGCTCCAACACCCGCAGCCTCAGCTGGTACTCCCCCTGCGCACGCAAAATGTTCGTCCGACGAACATCCAGTTCAGAGTGTTCATGTAGCATTAGACGACTTCGGCACTGCGACTGCAGCGATGACTGTGTCACGGTGAAGTTGATGAGGCACACCTGTCCGGCCATACCGGGAGATGGCTGATAGTGTGAGTCACGCGTCACGAGAAAAAGGCGAAATGCCGCCGCAATTTCCACGTCTTGTGCCCCCAACCGCGTCAATGCATGGCCCCTGACGCGATGTATTTCTTGATTGATGAGAGGGCTAAGTGCTGGATCAATAAATTCTGCATCCTGCATAAGAATGGGGTAACCAAAGCGCACCGCCATGTCCAAATGTTTCAGGTATCCCGTCTTGCTAAAGCTTGTCGTGTTTATTTTGTCCTTCGAGTACCGCTGCAAAAGAAACGTCACCGCAACACCATTTGGGTCAATAAGAAGCGGGTAACGCTGGCAACGACTAAGGATCATTGCATTCTCCACACAAAGATGATCCTTGAGCAGCCCACACTGCTCCCATGAAAGCCGCTCCTGCGGTGTCACAAGGTATTCCACAACACTGCGAAAATCTTCACGAAAAGGGATTTGCAGCTGCTGCAGGCACTGACGCCAGCGGGGAAAGAGCAAAGACTGCCGCGCATGCTCGTCAAAGTAGCCAAAGTATGCCAGCGATGCGGCAGCAAGGATACAGTCCCCTAAAATTGTACGCACTTCGGAGTCAAAACCCATCGCTTCGGTTTCCCAGCGCCCACGTTCGTCAAACAATTGCCGCAGCAGTGTTGTGGCCCGTTCACAGCGCGCGGCAACTCCGTTCATCGTGTTTTTGATTGCCGCAATCTCCTCTGTCACCTCCTGATATCCCTTCTTGAGCTGCAACAGCGATGCCTCCATGGTCGCAATCTCCACCTCGGTGCGCTGAAGCTGGGCACGTTTGGCACCGTGGACCTTGCTAAGATGATCAATCCGGTTTCTTAGTGGTCCTATGGCGGCTAATATCGCCGCATAATTTACTTGCGCCTGCACCCACTGTAGCAGCGGACCAGCTGCCTTGGATGCACGCCGCGCTGCCTCGTATGTAAAATCCTCCTCCTGCAACATTGCACACACCGTCAGGCGCGCCTCCTCTGTGATGCGGCGGGTTTCAAAGGCCTTCACACCAGCGAGAAAGTCGTCACGACGAATGTGGTGCTTGATAACGTCCCACTCATCTGCCCTCTTTTCGCCCATGACGACAAGCACGGCCTCCAGCACACGCTTGACCATCTGCGGTGGGGTCGTGTAGGCACGAATCTCGCGGAGGTACTCCGGTTTAATGGTGTTTAGTGCAACCTCCGCCTCCC